TATTGCATACGCCAAGATAGGTAATACCTTGCACATACGCTATGCTAATGACTGCCCATTTTCACAGTTGCAAAATGATAGCAACACTCCGCGAATTAAACTGAAGGCTTCCCAAGAAACTCAAATCGAAAGTAATACGGTTAATTTCGTGAAAGTTAAAAGTTAAAACTGATGAAATAAATAACGGTTATGTTTTAATAAGTGGATCGGAAGATGAGTTGGGCTCATTATTGGAAGTAATACAGGGAGAAACAGTGATACCAGTCACTAACTACAGCGATCGAAAAACTAATTTTGAAAGAGAATCAATGTATCGGTAGAGCGGAAGTAGCAGGATTAGTTGAACCAAGTTCAGATCAGAAAACTGAAAATTCAAGTCAAAAGGAAATAATGGTAATAAATTAAATTAAGAAGTTTAAGAGACCGATTACTTTAGAAGAAATTAAAGTTAATAACAATATTATGCCAGAGAGAAAACAGGTAGTTTTACATTTGATAAATGAGTATTGAGATTATTTTGCATTAAATATGGAGGAATTAGGGTGTACAAACTTAACAAAAATGGATATTAAAGAAATTAAAGGGAGTAAGCCTATTTGCATGAAGTCGTATAAAACCAATGCCGAAGAGCGTGCTTCTATAAAGAAGATAATAAATAAATGGAAGAAATATGGAATTGTTACTGAAATAAGATCTCCGTATGCTAGTCCAGTTTTACTTGTAAGGGAAAAAACAGGTGAATAACGATTAGTGATAGATTATAGAAAGTTGAATTCGCAAACTGTTAAAGATAGATTTCTACTCCCTAAGATAGATGATCTTCTTGAAAGTGAGTGTAAAGTTTTCACTACATTGGACTTAGCTCATGGATATTTACAGATTCCTTTAACTGAAGAAGCGAAACTAAAAACAGCTTTCATCACTCCAGATGATATTGGTCAATTTGAACGTATGATCTTTGGGTTAGCTAATGCACCTGCAGAATTTCAGAGACTTATGAATCAAGTTTTAGGTCCATTGCTTAATAAAGAAGTATTGTGCTATTTGGACGACATATTAATTCCGACTAAATCTTGGGAAGAAATGATGGAAAAACTTAGGAAAGTGTTTGATAGATTGAGAGAAGCAATGCTGACATTGAAACTGACAAAATGCGAATTTGGAAAAGATGAAGTTGAGTATTTGGGATTTCTAATAAAATCAAATGGTATGCAACCTGGACCAAGAAAAGTACGAGCCATATTAAACTTTCCTAAACCAACCAATGAACATGAAGTTAAACAATTTTTAGGTCTTACAAGTTTCTTTAGAAGGTTTGTACCGAAATACGCAGAGAAAGCTGAGCCGCTAACGAGACTGACGAGGAAGGATGAAACATTTCGTTGGAACGAAGATCAGCAAGAAGCATTCAGTACTTTAAAGGATCATTTAACTAATGAACCAATACTAGCATTATATAATCCCGAAGCAGAGACTGAAGTGCACACAGACGCGAGCAACAAAGGGCTGGCAGGAATGCTGTTGCAAAAAGGTGAAGATAGAAAGTGGCATTTAGTTTATTGTGTAAGTAAAGGAACAACAGAAACAGAAAAGAATTATCATTCAAGCAAATTAGAATTAATGGCTATAGTTTGGACTTTGACACGACTTCGACAATTTTTAATTGGAATCCGATTTACGGTAATTACAGACTGCCAAGCTTTAGTTTATTTAAACGCGAAGAAAACTTCAAATCCTCAGATAGCAAGGTGGAGTAATCTGATTCAGGAATACAATCTTGAAATAAAGCTCAGTCAAGGTAAAAAAATGAGTCACATAGATGCATTGAGCCGATCGCCAGTTGATGAGCCAGAAAAAACTTTAGACTCTATAATTGAAAACAACTTGGAAGTTTGTTTAACGCTAACGATAGATGAACAAATTCTTATGATTCAGCATTCAGATCCAGAATTACGCAAATTAATAGACATTTTAAAGAAAAAGATAAATGATAGAACAATTGCAGAGAAATATGTAACAGAAAATTACGTCTTAAAGAATAATCGATTTTTTCGTAAAGTAGAAGATCAGGAAAAGGAGAAATTGTTATATGTCATACCTAAATCAATGAGAAAAGGTATTGCAGTAAAATTTCACGATCTTTTGGGACATTTTTCAGCAGACAGAACTGTTGCCAAAATCAAGGAATCATACTGGTTTAAAGGAATAAAACGATATGTTATGCGTCACATTTCGAAGTGTTTCGAATGCCTAGTGGTAAGAAACAAGGAGTACTGCATCCAATTAGACCTGGTAGAAGACCTTTTGCAATCATACATATAGATCATTTAGGACCATTCATAAAAAGTTCAAGAGGAAATACAAAATTATTTGTAATAATTGATAATTTTAAAAGATTTACATGCTTATATCCTATGAAAAGTACTGCAACCAAGTATGTGTTAGTTGCATTGAAGAGTTTTGTAGATGATTTTGGGTTATCAGAAAAAATTATCAGTGATAGAGGAACATCTTTCACAGCGAAGGAATTCCGAGAGTACTGTCAAAATAATGGAATCAGTCATACACTCAATTCAACTCAACATCGAAGTGGTAATGGAATGTTGGAAAGAGCAAATCGAACAATTTTGGCTACGATTAAAACAAGTATGGAAAATCCGAATCAGAGAGACTGGGACAAAAAGATTAAGGAATGCGAAAAGAAATCTAAACAATATGATAAATAAGACTACAAATAAAACTCCTTTCGAAATGCTTCACGGTTATTCACCAAAATTTAACGACGGATTGATGAGGATGATTACAGATGAAGACGCAAATGAATGGGAGAATCCAGTAATCTTACAGAATGAAGCTAGAAAAAGAGAATTGAAGATATGCAGATGAAAATGAAAGCAAATTATGACAAGAAGAAAAGCAATTCTTTAACATTCGAATGAGGAGAAATAGTAGTTATGAGAAGAGTACCTAAATCAATTGGAGAATCAAACAAAACACAACAAAAGTATTGAGGATCTTTGGTAGTTACAGAAGTTTTACCAATTGATACCTATAGAGTGACTCAATTAGAAGAGAAGGTGAAAGGACATTTCTTTAGTACAACAGCTCATGTGAGCCAATTAAAGTCATGGCAGTGTCAAGCTGAATCAGAAGAAGATGATGATGATGGCGATGACATTAAGTATTACTGGGGGATAATGATAACAACACGTTGCATATTATTAAAACTAGGACACGGAAAAAGAATAGGAAACAACGGTAAATCTATATGATTTTCGAACTATAAACATTAATATTACAGATTTAATTTTTTAAGTATAAGTTCTTAATGTTCCGAGGTTGTAACTAAGTCAGGATGCCCGAACGTAAGTGCAACGTATTAATTTTAATTTAAATGTATTTTCCCAATTGGCAACAACAGTTTTTTTTTTAGAACGGTAATAATTTGAACTGTAATGTTTTTGAGCAGTAATGTTGACGGTAATGTTTCTGAATAAAGCAAGTATCTAACAATTAATGTTTGAACGGTAATGTTTGACGAAAGTGTTTTGAACAAAGGAACTAATTAATTGCTAACATATCCATCAAATAACATAAGACAAATGATTAACACACCTATACTTTTAGCTAAGTATTAACAGGAATTCATGAAGAAACCCTAACTATGAAAGTTACCTTGTTTTATTTATTTATTCATAATACAATACCAAGTCTGAAATCAGATATCCAATATTCACAGTGATATCACCAGCATAATAAATAATAAAAAATTTTCCCCTTCTTAAAAAAGCTAGAAATGGAATATAATACTCAACAAAAGGAAGCAGGAATGTTGTAAATGCAGTTTTCTCCCAAGTGATACACCTGATGTCACTTTCAAACACCTGCTGGCTAGGAAAGTAGATTGTGACCACTGACAACACCATGACTGATGCTATGTTGATGTTAGCCATGTTCACACTTTTGACTCTTGATTAGTTATGGGGTAGTAAATTTTTTCTACCTGATCTAAACAATAAGTGAAGCTTTAATGCTGCCATATCTGCATGTCGTCTTACTAGATATAAACTGATGATCTAAAATCCAGAATCATCAAAATACTATGATTCCAGATTTTAGACTTCGTATCTTTTGCAGACTAAAAATCTCATGTTTTAACATGCTTTATCATCACAGTGTTTCCTGTTTATGTCAAAATATTGCAATAAGCATCAAAATTATTCACCATATTGCTACATGTAAAGAAGGGTATGGCAGTGCATGTTGGAAGACACAGGAACACATAAATAGAACGTTACAAACAAAATACAGGAACAAATGGACACAAGAACACAAAACTGGAATAATAAATGTGCACTACAAATGGAATGCATATGAGATATTGATCTCTATGCCTTTTAAACTTTTTTTAATAGTTTCATACAATTCTTTTATACTTTATCTTTTATTTAGTCCTATAGGATTGTTCAGTCACAACTATCAGGTCCAATCTACTATTTTTATAATTATAAATGGTCCTAACCACTTATTCAGCATAAAAGCAGATTTGGCTTCTGCACATGATGCAAATTAGCTCATTACTGAAGTTAGGATTTTCTGACCACTACATATAATTTGTCTGAGGAATGCTCCAAAAATGTTTTTGTACAAGTCCCATCTTTAATATATATATATATTATAAGAATCATACCAGTTTGTTTTACATCTGAGTCTAACATATGTTATCTAAAGAATAAAATATTAGCCTTTTTAATAGAAAGAATAAGCCAACAAATTTATAGCACAGTGGCTACAAAATGAAATTTAAAAAAAAAAAAAAAAGAAAGAAAGAAAGAAAGAAAAGAAAAGAAAAAAAAAAAAAAAAAAAAAAAAAAAAAGAAAAAGAAAGAAAAGAAAAGTAAGAGTAAGCGGTCAAATAACGTCAACAATTATTAAATCTACAATAATTTTATATACTGCACAGTAAAACTTCGAATGAAAAATAAGTCAATTCTTCTTACACATTTTTGGCGCCTCCTTTCTCTGGCAGAGTTAATTTCTTCATCTTTAAGTGGATTAGAGTACGAACTAAATACTGTTTCTTGTTTGACTGCAAGAACCATGGTATGACAGCCACCACAGGCTACCTGAAATTTTTTTTATTATTATTACATGAATGAATTATTTCTTGTTAAGCTAATAAACTAAATGATCCACAGGAATTACTGTTAAAATTAAAACAGGTAAAAATTATTAAATGGCACTATTACAATATTATACAAATTACAACATTAAATGACTGATCATTTGAAATATTTAAATGATTAAAATACTTAAGAATATTATACCAAATTTTTCTTGATTGGTCAAATTACTTGCAAAATCTACAAAATCGAAGAGAGCTGCCTACGAGAAGATGTCTTTCCAGAAGATTTTTCATGAGAAAGTGGCATGTACTTATATTGCACATGAAGAAATCCAAGAATATATTTTATAAAGACTTGTTTAAAAACTGGCAATATAACCTAAATGAAACTAGCACTGTTTCTTTATTTTCTTTTCCTTTATATTGTTCCAAATGATGATGGGAGAAATTTTAAACTCTTGCTTGTTTTAAAATCTGGGCAGATTGAATCATATCCAGAAATTTAAATTGGAATATTTTCCTATTTCTACTTTATGTACCCAGTCACAAATAATTTATAAAAAATTATATGCATTATTGATTCATCACTTGTTTGTTAATCCAATAATTGTGTAGTTGTTTGAAATCCTCGTGTGATAGACTTTAGCAGGTGTCTTTGTTACATAGTGGAAAACTGGCTGGCTTCAAACTGGTCTTTAAAAAGAAAGAAACATGATGATACCCTTCATTACGACAAAGCTTAATAATGTAGAATGTAATTTCGTGTATTCATGTATTAAAAATTCGTGTATGATTATGATACTGATCTCAGTTATGCCAGGGCCATTAAAAAAGCATCTACTTGTACTTGAAGTTCTTCAGAGAAAAAAATGCTTTTGTAAATATAAATTATTAGGAATTTTTATTTACTTGATGTGGAATGAAAAGTAAACTAAAACCTTAATGTGTACATTATGAAGTGCTTGCAATCAAGTATATGAAACCTACAATATTAAAATGGAATTTAGAGACAAAACATACAAATGTAAGTAAAGCTGTCAATTTTTTTTCAATGATATGTTGAGAAACTGAATAAAGAAATCAAAGTTGTTTCTTGTACAGGTTCTTACAAGCTTCCTATATTGCAAATGCTGAATCAAAGAATGTAGAATTTGGACTTACAATTAAAATATAAAAAAAGTCCATTTTAAATCACTTCAGATAGACGAAGATAACATATGTTTTGAAAGGCAGAGATGAGTTTAACAATAACATTCTTTTCAAAGACTCGTACAACATTTTTAAAGTCCTTTTGAGTACATAGAGCATAAAACTGATTAGAAATAATGCATAGGTTCTTGCAGATAGGACTTGCGCACTCGCAAGTAAAACATAGGTAGCTAAAGTTAAAGCTATGACATTTGATGTTACCAGGCTCATGTTTCATTCACAGGAAAGTCTTGCTGTCTAAATGTATGTCATCTAAATTCAAAACAGTATTACAAAACAGCATTAAAATAATAAACTTTATTAATGCAAAGTCTCAGAATAGTAAAATATTCCCATTATTTTGTGATGGCATAGATAGCGAGCACAAACAGTTTCTCCATAAGTTCACTGGTTTTTCACATGGGTAGTAGTACCCTGCTGCATGAAAGGACTTTTAAAATTAAGATAGAAAAGCTTGTTTTTTGCAAAAAAAAAAAAAAAAAAAAGGGGGGGGGATTTTACATTATTTCTTGCTGATAATATGTGGTTAAGCACATTGGTATATCTCTTAGACATTTTCAGAAAATAAATGAACCACTCTGTATATAATAACAACTCTTTGACTGTTCTTCATACCCATGAGAAAAAAATATTGTTTGAGAGGAAACTTGGTTTGTGAGTTAGTTGTGTAAAACAAATTTTTCACTATTATCACCAGTTTCAGGATCATTTTAGTTTAAAATGATATCATTATTGGAAAAGAATTATAAAATGACACATGTTCACTTGTTGAAAATCTGATGCCACAATGTGATACTTATTTTCTATGTGCTCAGTTAGTTTCTAGGATCTGAGTGAGACAGAGTTTTTCAAATTTAAATAAGACTAAATTACCAATATCAACTTAATGCATGTTCTGATCTCACACTTAAGCTTACCAGCATACATCCAAATATAAAATAGCTGTGCAAGACCTGGCAGGCTCATCCATCTCTTTAATGCTAGTACTAACATTTACTAAATTTTTAGTTAATAAGATAAAGATTATCTAACTCTAATAGCTTTATAATACTATCTAAAACTGAACATACATTTTCTTTTATTAATTATTTAATACCAATATTATATTACATGAATTTTAATTAATTGTTTTTTAAAAATATACGTACATTGGTATATGCTAAAAAATTGCTTTCAAAGCAGACAAAAGTAAGGAGGTCCATAAAACATTCTAATTTATAAAAGAGGTCTTCAGTTAAAAAAGTTTGAGAAATGCTGATTTAGAAAATCAAACAATTAAAAGATACATAATAAAAACTATATGAGGAACATAACTATATATGCACCTTTGTATGTAATCTGTACAAGCAGTAATGCCATATCAATTAATAATTTTCACATATTTAGATGGATAAGTACAATAAGTTTCACTAATAGCATTTTGGAATAGCTGTGATGAAAAATTCATCTTCACCTTATTTAACTTAATAAATTACATGAAAACACCATTCATAAAAATTATAATGCATAAAATAACTAATGTACTGAAAATAATTCTTCCCTTTTCAGAAGATTTCTACATTAAAAATAAGATATAGATATGATAAATAATATATATATATATATAAATAAGATGAGATAAGAATATATTATATATTCATATTATATGTTTATTTCCTTTGCTGGCTTTCTTGATTTCCATTTTCCTGCCAGAATGTAAATTTATAGTTTAAATGTATTCCAAATGAGGTAGACAAGAGATAGCATTTAGAGGAAAATTTTAGAGGGTAGAATCAGAGTGTATTCCACCTGCTGAAGGCAACATTTGCTGTTTTTCTTGAGAGCAGTATATCTGTGGCGTTGTGTTATTCTCATCACAAAACTTGTCACGTTGATATTAGGTGTGAGCCAACCTCTCCATTTCTCTGTCTGTATAGCCGTTAGGCTAACTTGCATTTTACTTAGTTAAGTCAAATTCATTACTTTTCATTTAAGCCATAAATGCTGGCTGGTTCTCTAAGCATAAACAGTGCCTTCTGTTAAACATTTATCTGAGTTAAATATAAGAGGCCTTTTACACCCTTCGTGCATTTATGACATAATTTCAAAGATACAGTGATAAGTCACTTTAGTCTTTAGAGATCTCGTCTGATTCATGTTACCAAAGAAAATGAAACTCTATAATACTAACTTCAGTTTTCCCTAACAAATACCATTAATAAAATTTGTTTAGAAAATTTTGAATGAGAGCTTTAACTTTTCTTATGATCAAAAGTATTAATGTTAAACCAAAAATATTACCTGCTGAACTTGAAAACCATTAAATCTTGTAACTAAAGTTGGCACAAATTGATTAGAACAATCATCTACTCCAATAAGACCCAATTTTCCATGTCTCCCATTACCACATGTATACAACTGTCCCCTGTCTGCAAAAGAAAAAAATATCAGTTTTCTAAAAAAAAGGGGGGAGTGACATGCATACAGTTCAGAAGAAGCGACAGTATTCCATATCACTTTAGATAAGAAATATCCTTATAATAAATTTTGAGAAAATTAAAGAATTAAAGATGTTCCTATCACAAGCTTCAATGTAAAATATCTATTAGAAAACTAAGTTTCAATTCTTAATCAAGATATAGTTGATTTTTCACGATAACCTTCTCTTCCACCATTCCCTCCCTCTCCCAAAAAAATTCACTTTACTAATTATAAACTAAAATATGATGGACAATTAACTCATTACCAATTTCACTCAACACACTAGGTATTGCTTCTACCACCTAAGGCCTATTTTAAGACCGAGCGGGATGGAAGATATTAGGAAATTTTCGCACTATACTATAATTATCACTAACAGCATTATTAAAACTTCACTGCTATGCAACAAGATCTCAGTAAATTATCAAATAGTTTGGCATCCATGTTAGGCTCAGAGAAAACAACAAGTATGACAAAGAAACTTAAACTGTTTTATTTTAACAGGGTTTAAATATTGCAAGTTTCACAATGGTAACACAGCAATTTTTCACTGCAAATAGCTACAAGAAGAGAAAATTTGAAGTTATCAATGAGTATACTTCATTCAGATTTAAAATCTGCTGAAAATTAAGCTGTGATCAGGTTTATATTAGGCTACCCTTCTGTAACTGATAGTGCCTTAGATTGTTAATCTCCAGATTTTAGCTACTTTCAATGCTTAGATATTATTATTATGACAATGGTGATATGAAGACGCAAGAGAAACATACTGACATGGAAAATAAAACAGGCAAATCAACAATCTTGTATTTGGCATAGATTTTGTAAAATCCCAATCGATTTCGAGGGCAAAACGGGTTCCCCTTCATCATGAGAATAAAATTCTGCAAAAGCGAGAAAGCAAATGTTGATCATATTTATACCCTACAGGCGACCAGTGGAAGAGCCGATAGAGACATCTGTCGGCAGAAATAGTAACAAAAAATGAAAGAGGTTAAGTTAGTAGAATTTTAAAGACAACAGGCAAAACTGGATTGGAATAAAAGTCATAAGGCTAACAGGATAAATTTTTGTGAATGTGAAAAGCTTCAAGAAATTCAATTTCCTAATACAACCAGCTTTCTGGATAATTTTAGCAGAACCAAAATCAAAATTGTGATTGAATTTCCAACTAAGATTAGCTATTGAAGATTTGTTAATTTCATCTTTTGAGACGCAAGATTCATGTTCCTTTATGCGAAACTTTAATGTTCTTTTTGTTTGGCCAAAATACCTTAAACCACACTGACACGATATGCTATATATTCCCCAAGAATTAAAGTCAGAAATAGAATCTTTAAGAACCGAACCTCGGATTTTATTTATAGGTGAGAAAACAAATTGAAAATTAGACTTGTGTAAAATCTGTGCAATTTTGTAACTGATAAAAGGATGAAATGGAAGCACAACAAGGTTATTAATGCTATTTCTAACATCAGACTGTGTTCTTAGATGGCACGATGAGAACTTTCGAACAGCTTTATCAATGAGTATAGCTACAGATCTTAAATACTTGAGTTCATTAGCAAGAAGATATTCTGAGGAACAAACTTTGAGAGCTTGAAATACATAATAGTAAAAAGAAAACATTTTTTGCTTAGCCGGGTGACATAGCATGGGAAGATAAACAAACAGCAAAGAGTTTACGGTAAACAGTTGTTCTGAAATTAAATCCATTGTGGATTATAAGAGTATCAAGGAAGGGAAGTGTATTATCAGATTCAATATCAAAAGTGACCTGGATGGCTGCATCAATCAATTTACAACAGACAAAATCTGATGTTTCCTTATCACTATCAAAAAGAGCAAAAGTGTCATCTACATAATGAGTCCACAGACAAAAAGATAGTTTTTCAAATAATTTGACCTCAAAATAGTGCATGTAAATGTCAGCAAGTATAGGACTGAGGGGATTACCCATAGCTAGTCCTTGAATTTGGCGATAATATTCATTTTGGAAAACAAAGTGAGTTTGACTCACAGAGAATTTAGTGAAGGAAATTAACTCTTCAATTTCAATATGTGAGAAATGGAATTCTAAAAGTCTAGTTGCAAGGCATTTTAGTGCACATTCGACTGGAACATTAGTAAACAGAGATTTAACATCAAACGAAACCATAGTGGAGTGCAAGGGAGAAATAGCATTAAGTTTATTGGTGACTTCGAAAGATTTTTTAACGGTGTGAATGTTGTTGGAAAGAATAGGAGAAAATAGAAAATACGGAAACTAAATATTTGGCCAAAGGGTTCGATGCCGTTCCTAATTTGGAAACTATAGGTAGTAAAGGAATTCCAATTTTGTGAACTTTGGGAAGAGCATAAAATCTAGCACAGTTAATAATAGGTGGAATGAGTGATTTCTTAAGCTGAGTCGAAAATATATGAGAAGATTTAATGGCTGTTTTAACTTTTGTGAGGTCAGAAGTTGAGGGATCTTTAGGGATGGAACAGTATGGGCCTTTACTTATCAGTTTCATGACCCCCATTAATGTATATGTATTTGTCCATAACCACAATTTGTCCAACCTTATCAGCCTTCAAAATTAGAATAAATTTCACATAAGGCTTTCTTTTCTTTTTGGTTGAGATTCGAAACAAATGATTGTTGTTAAAATTCACATTATAAGTAATTAAGTGGCGAATTGCATCTTTCTGTGTTTCTGAAATTTTAGAAAATTTAAAACTTTTTCAATAGGGGCAATGATTCGAGAAATTGAAGGTTTCAATGGCTTAAAAAAGTTAAAGTTACATTTTAATACATTCATTTGATCCTCTGAGAGATTCAATTTCAAGATATTAATAATGGGATTTGTGTAAACAGTGGGAAGTGAGATTATCACTTGGATTTTTATAATGGTTAATGATGCTGGCTGTCACATCATTGGGTTTGGGTTTGAATCCTGGATAGTTATAAGTTGCATAGTATCTATTTGGCATGAGAATACTTAAAATACTATTAAATCCTCAGTCCTTTCCAAAGGTTTGGTCATAAGGAAAGACAGGTGAGAGATCCTTGGATCCATCGACCAGAGTCTTGATGGAACTTCTTTTTCTCATGGGTAAAATTTGGTCATTCTATTTGTATTCTATTTGGTCATTCTATTCTATATTCTATTCCCTGGGGAAAATTCTCAGTTATCAGAAAATTAAACAAGCATTGGGTATTGGCCATTTCTGAAGAATGCATTAACCCTTTGGCGGTCGTATGTCCACTCTCAGCCATTACAGCCTTTTTACCGTTCTGGTCGTATGTCTGCTCTCAGCCACCACAGAAAGGAACTATACGAATCGTATACTGTATGAAAATGTTTCCACAAATAGAAATGGATCAATGAGAATCGAAAAAGCGAACAACTTTCTGGATTATATTGGTGACAAATTCCAAGCCTATTTTACACCGGACAGAGAAATATCCATCGATGAGTCTGTTGTGAAATTCAAGAGCAAAATTAGCTTTATTACATATAATCCTAAAAAGCCCAACAAATGGGGAATCCGGATTTATGTATTGTCAGACGCACATACAGGATACATATATGCTTTGCTTCCCTACTATGGAAGCGTTACTACAGACATTCTCATCCATCCAGACCTCCCTGTCAGTTCAAGGATTGTCTTACAATTGTATCACATGCTGTTGACCGCAAATCCTGAGTCAAAGGGATACCACATCTTTACGGACAGATATTTTACATAGATCCCATTAGCGCAGGAACTTCTAAAACTAAGCTGTTATTTAACTAGTACAATTAACACAAACAGGAAATATGTACCAGCTGTGATTAAAAAACCAGATGTAACAAAAAATAATACTGTCGCTGCCTACCGATCAGTCGATATTCTATTATTAGCGTGGAAACATAAAAGAATAGTCACCATACTAAGCAGTTACAATACATTGGGCACAACAATTACAGAAAGAAGGAAGAAACAAGCTGGGACTGTCAACATTATCAAACCAAACACTATTATAAATTATAATATGAATATGGGAGGTGTGGATAAGGCTGACCAATTAGCAAGTTTATATTGTTTTATGAGAAAATCGTGCAAATGGTGGAAAACATTTTTTTTTTTTTTTTTTTCCTGGGAATTAGAGGTTTGTGCAATAAATAGTTATATTTTATATAAGGTGTCAGCTAGAAGAGAGAACAGGAATCCTATGCCACATTTTATATTCGTCCGAAAATTGGTGGCACAACTGGTAGGTGATTTTCGTGATAGAGAAGATTCAAAACCAGGAAGACCATCGACTTCCGATAAGAAAGAAAGTGGAAAACTGCATATATTGTGGCATTGTGAAAATGAAAAAAGTAAAGATCGTAGTGTATGTTCAAACAGAAAGATTAAGGGTGGAAGGCACCAAACCAATTATTTTTGTGATACATGTACTCGAAAACCTGGCCTGCATGTTGGAGTGTGTTTTGAAAAATATCACACGAAGGAGAATTATAAAACATAATTTTTATACAAAAACATATCACTAGATGAGTGTATTGAATAAAGATATATCTGTAGTTCACAAAAGAATTACTAAATCTTGTTTATCCATTTTAAACTTGCGTGTTATGTATCCCTGCTCTATCGACGGAAATTAATTCCGACCAGTACGATACCCATCTCCAAATTTAATCCGTCCGCAAAGGATTAATTGAAAATATCTGGCCATTTGAAACAACATTGATGATATTTAAGTCAGAATGTAAATGCAACATTAAAGACAACCCTCCAGTGTGTTAATGGTTCTATAAAACTAACTAACTGCTGGAAGACTTGAGTTCAATTCCTAGTGAAGACACAATTGATATATGAGCATTCCTTGCTCCGAAAATCTTATGGCTTTATAAGAATACTTAAAGAATACATGACACATTTTTAGTAAAATATATGGTAGCAACAGTTAAGTTTTATAAATACTTTACACCCATTACATAAATTATTAATATAAAGTTAGCACACTATATAAAGTTATCCACATTTTAGACATAGTGCCTATCCATTAATTTGTACCCAGCTTTATACTATCCTAGACCCTACCATTTAACATCCTACATGGATGGAAATTTTTCAGATGTTGAACAAATAGTTGATGAACATGCATGCCTTTTCAAAGTATAAAAGATGAAAGACAAACATCAAACTTCAGAAATATAACCAATGAATATGAAAATTATTAATATTGACATCTTTTCAGTTAACAGTTATAGCAAATTTAAATAAAAGACTGCAATTTTATTATTTCTTTTCACATTACTAGTTGCTATTAATTTTGACTATAAATATGATATAACCTGCTGAATGATTATTTATTTAAAAAGAAATATCTCCATGTCAGATTTTCTGAAAAAAATTTACATCAGACACAGAAAAATGCATGAAAAAAAAATCATATGCATAATGAAAGTATCTCACACATGGTAGTTCAAAACACTTTTTATGAACATAAACTGATGAATGGGATACCGAATCTATTGGAAATATACTCCTATTGGACTTAAAGCACTGATTAATTATAAAGCACTTAAATCATAGAGTACAAAATTTTTTTCATAGACACTATGCAGATCACTAGAAAGCAATTAGGAATGCAGGAACTAAAAATAAGCACGACACAGATTTGCATCAAAATATGTTTCATTAGAGAAAAAGTGATAAGACATGGCCATAAAAATATGCAAATTAACTTTATAATTTAATTTAGTAATAGCGTTTTAACTGCTCTTTTTTAATTTGGTTATTTTCTCTTCCTTCTAAAAATAATAATAACATTTCTGGACTGTATCACTTCTAGATTAATCTATGCCACAAAGCTTGATGATGTAGTTATTTCAGAACCTAAACTCTGAGAACTGAAACCTTTCTAATGTAAACCAAAAACTTCTTCTTTGGTGAGCTGCCATATTGGATAAATGCTTACTTCACCTACATCTCTGTTGCTGCTTGGATGCCATTTCATTTCGCTATGTTCTCTTCCTATCACAATAGTATATTCAAAAATGTAAATGTTCTGAAAATAGGCATGATTAGACTGCCAAGTGAACTATGGCTACAAATGTGAATTTAAATTAAAGTGGAATTTAATCTGCCTCAACTGCCAAAGTTCCAATTCATTATTACAAATTCTACGTTCTAAATATCAAGTATCTATGCCTTCAGTATTTTTGCATTTCTAAGTCTCATTGTTTTCGTTGCAGTACTTCTACATTTTGCTTTTATCACATATGAGCGTATACATGTGTGCATATACATATATCGAAATTGAGATGTTTTTAAAACCAATATTATACTGCTTTCTAGCAGTGTAATAAATACTGCTGCTAGAAAACAGTGTATTAAACAGTATTTAAATATTTTTAACTGTTATCCAATGCCCCGTTAAATGCCAATTAGGCATTCATCTTGGGAACAACTGGACTGACCTGCAGGATAGTTTGTCGTTTGAACACTAAGAACACTTCCCATGATATAACACAGGATGATAACAGAGCAAGGGGAAATTCTCACATAAACATCCATACCTTATCCAGGATTCATACCTGGATGTTAGTACGCAAAGCAGGTTGCATTAAGCGTTATTTGACCATTCAGGCTTTTTTTTTTTTTTTTTTTTTTTTCATTTTAAATATTATTAAAATAAATAACAATGGATTACATTAAAAAGTATAAATTTTAAAATTTCAGAATATTTTTAAATGCCACAATACTTAATTACAACACAATTTCAACAGTGCTTTTCAAGTTACGTCCATAAAGGCATAAAATTATTAACCCTCTGAGTGCCAAGACAGGCATTATCAGGTAATGACATTTTTTGTTACTTGTTATATATTAGCTTATAATTTAAAATATTTTACGTTTCTTACTTTCATTAATAATATAAATGCCATCTTAATGAATGTAAGTTTATGAAACTGAGAGGATTAATAGCAGTTACTAACCTGTCAAAAAAGCAGTATGATTTTCTCCACAACTCACTCTTGCAACTCTAACACTTTCTAAAAAAACAACTTGTTGAGGTGAAGATACCTCTAGAAGTTTTGATCCTAAGCCAAGCTGCCCATCAAAACCATTTCCAAAACTATAAACTTTCCCATCAGCTAAAATATAATGCATTGTTTAAGTAATGCAAACAATTTGTAAATTTCCTTCACATCTAATAATCTTAAGTCTAAATAATTATAGTTTAATAATATTTAATAGTATTTAATATCTTAAGTCTAAATAATTATAGTTTGAGAAATAAAAATCCATATAAATGTGCAAGATAATTCTTAGTTATTAAACATTTCTAGGTCATTAATTATATCCTGTTTACGAGTGTTACTCTGAATTTTTGAGATACACATAGGCATTTAATGTTGTACTTATGAAATTTAAGGAGTGTTCAAAGTAGTTTCCTCCCACATCAATGCACTTTTGTATATGAATTTTGCAAAAATTAAAACCACAAGCCATTCATTTCTTAGAACTAATGAAAAAAATGCATTTAAAGCCAATCTCATCTTCAGAATGACAAATGTGACATCTGAATGTGACAAAATGAATGTCTTATGTGATATCCACATATTTTTTTTTTTAATTAAAAAATAGTCAAAAGTCCCACGTAGCTAGATTGGGTGGATATTCTATATCTTTGAAGTATTTTTGTTCAAGACACTCAACTGTCAATCTTGCTGAATGAGAAGATGCACTGTCATGACGGAACACAAGTTCTCTAGGATTCAGTTCTTGATGAATTTCTGGAAGACACTTGGTGGTGTACCAGTTAGCCGTGACTGTCTTTTGTCCAGTGGCGTAGCGAAGGGGGGAGACAAGGCTGTGTATAATGCCCAGGCGACGCTCGCAAAGGGGCGCCAAACAAGATTTACCAGAAAAGTTCAGTTTTTATTTTGATCGATTTCTGGAAAATATATTTTAAATTAATAATTATTGTAATATAATTAATTACTTGTTTTCTTGATTTGTCTGATAAAATGTGTAATAAAATGTTTGCAGTACATCAACCCATATCTCCGCATACAAAACGTTCTTTCTGACCACTTTATTTCTCTAAAACAGAGCTATATTTTTATTTTTTTAAACGAAATGCATGTATAACTTCTGTTTTTTATTTTAAAACGATAACACGACCTTGTCCCGAATTTCTCAAACATATCTAATTTCCAAAAGTCTTCTACAGACTGGATATGATATTTTGGGATACTCATAACGCTTCTGCTACAGTGGATTGCGTTTGATTCTCCCGTAAACGACTGACGGTCTTCCTGACTACCGATTCAACTAAGTCATCTTGCTGAGACATCGTATATTCACTGCTACAAAACATTCAACACGTGTCAGTTGTTTTTAGTCTCCTGTTAAAAAGGAATGTTGCAGGTCGCTACTTACTCCTTATCTAAATTGCATAGTTTTCAACGTCACAGACTAAATTTGCATATTCCCAACTTTGTAAACGTTATAATTTTCCTTTATAATATCTTCTATTTCCTTTTGTTAAAAAGGATTTGTCGATTATATGGCTATTTAATACCAAACTCGCAATATTCCCTAATTGTTTTGAGCAGTGAATATGACTACAAGATGTTATTTGGCAGTAGAAAAGAAACTTAACCTAAAACTCCATTACAGATCTATGGAGAAAATGTTTTTCCAAACCAAAGAGTAGTACTTCAAATACTCCTATTTCATTATCAAATGCTAGCTATGAACGTTCGCTCATCAAATTAAAACAAATTTTGACATATTTACAATCAACAATAGGACAAGATCCCCTAAGCCATCTAGCATTTTTAAATGTGGAAAGAAAAAAAATTTGAAATGATGAACTTTGATGAGGTAACTGATAAATTTGCTTCATCCAAGAAAGAAAATTGTATACATAGTAATTAATTACATTAATGTATTATAATACTATATTATTATTAATAAAAATATCTACTTATCTATAATATATATTAAACTTTAAATTGTTTATTGGCAGTTTTCTTAAGAAAGATCTCCATGAAGGCATCCAACCCCTTAGACAGATAGCCCTTGTGTGCTTTGCCATAATCAAATAAACCTACCAAACACTCAAGAGATATTAAAAGAAAAATAGTACTTCATTTTATTTTTTTACATTTTGTTTATACACTCTTATACTTTATTTATTTAAATTTTTTTCTTCTTTTTTTATTTTAATGCATCAAATTTTAGTTGTTTCAGAAAGGTTATATATATATATATTTTTTTTGGTATTATATAGTGTGTAGCATTTATATTATTAATATATATTGCAATATACTTCTCTGTAATTCTACTAGTTTGAAGACTGTTGGCTTATTTGGAAGACTGTTGGTTGGTTATATTTTAAATATTTATGGGAAATTTTGTATTTTATTGATTTTTAATTTCATTTTTCTTATGTCTGTGGATTTGCTTTTAAATTTCTTACTTTTTGTCTATATTACAAGTTATCTAAGGAGGGGAACTAACCTTCAAACACTTGAAAGAAAAAAATTAGTTCTATTTTGAAAATTTTAAAACATTGTAATATATATATATATATATATATGACTTTATTGCAAAATGTACACATATTTTGCATCGTATAAGTTTATACTTGTACACACAGTTAACACTATAATTTAAAATACACATCAATATTACTGATAAAAATATTGTTAAAAATATTTACATAATTAATATTATCTCAATATTGTCAATCAGTCAATATGTCAATCTTTTATCAGTAAAATTTAAACAGGCAGAAAATTATAAAACTTTAGTAAAAAAAAGCAGATACAGAATTTATTTCAGGTTTATGGAGTTTTGATAATTATTATATATGATTTTAAAAAGTAATAAATTCAAGTAAAACATTTTACTCAAAATGTACATAAAAAGTAGCACATACAACTTACATGTAAGCACCACAGTATGATTTCCTCCACATGATACCCATACAACTTTTCTATCAAATGCAGGTACACAGTGAACACAAAGAGGACTTCTTTTTAACATATGATCTGGTAGACCCAATTTACCAGATTCACCCTCACCACAAGTATATAACTTGCCATCCACTAATATAAAAATATTCATTAGACAAATTAAATTAAGACAAATTTCAAAAAATTAAGACAAAATTAAAAATTAAGACAAATTTCAATAATGTTATCAGAATCAAAACAATATCCCTAATCAGTGATCAGCTATGAAAATTTTAACAAAAGTGTTTATCCTATTAAAAAAAATATCAAATCCTAATAAAATATTTTACTTCTTTACAAGAACAAAAAATACATTTTCACACATAAAATTATACAATTTTACCAATATAATTTGTACAGTTTTACATATAAATTATATTTAGACAACGTAAATTTACATATGATAAAATAATCAATTATAGGTCTTTTAAAAATTAGATATGATAAGATAATAATACTAAGTCTTTCAAAAATTAGAAATCTAGTAATAGTTTAAAAAGACTCATATTTATTATTTAATGCAAAATGGTTCCTTCACATTTCAAATAAACTAAAAACTGCCTACAGTGGTCCAAAAATGACTGATTTTTAATTTGATACCTATATCTTTATTAGTCTCATTTAATTATAGCTGATTTTTGAGAAACTTAGTGATAAAAAGCATATAATTTATCTAGAAATATTTCAAAATGGCTCATTTCATTAATATTTCTTATCGAATCCTATAATGCTGAATCCTATAATATATATACATGATATATGTAACACTCTGAAACAGTGTTGGAAAATTTTCATAAAAGTTTGATCAAAGTTTCTATTTTCTTCGTAACATTATTCTATGCCCATCAGAATAAAATGCAAATGATTGTAAATTAAATAATTTATCCAACAGTTTTCAAAAAATCTGAATGAATTAAAACTGTTAATTATGCAGGCATATACACATTCAGCAGTATTACTTTCTAGCTCAAAAGAAAAAGAATAAGAGGTTCGCAAAATAAACACTAATTTTGAAAAAGAGTTTGCATGAGCTCCTTGCATAGCTCAATGCTTGTTATAGCTCCTACCAGAAGGCATTAATTTCAAAAACATCTGTTTGTTTCGCACATTCCCAAAAGTTATTAACAGATTCAATCTTATTGCTTTCTTGCTTATCCAACACAAACATACAGTATAGTGATACTTGTATTTAAAAAAATTGACGTGGACACCACATGACTTTTCTGTACAGCTGTTAAATTATACACAATTTTAGCTGCACTTCACATATTTCCTTGAATTATTCTAATTTAATTAGCTGATCAAGGGAAGTTGAAAACGACATCAAAAATTTCAAATTTCAAAATAAAATAGCTTGGTCAATTTTTGTTATCCAGAAGTCAAACTTTATATAAATATATATATATATATATTGTTTCATAAGAATAAATTGAATTTAATTAAAAAATTAAATTTAAATAATACATATTTAATTAAATATTCTTTGCACCATTGCTGCAAGGAATGAAATTTAAATTTAAACAAATTTAAATTCTTAACAAATACGTATAAAAGTAAAAAAGCAAATTTAAATTCTAAAAAAAAGGAAAAAAGCCAAAATAATTTAAAATAATTTTTAAAAAAATGTGCAAACATGTAAAAGATTTAATTCTCGAACTAATCTACAATATCATTTATATATATATATATATTCATAATCAGTGTAAAACTTTCCCAAATATAAGTAGAGAAACCAGAAAACCATACTGAAAGTTAGATTACATTATTTGTCCAAAATTATTGTTATTATATTTTTATATTTGAAATCGCCAAAACATGAATTTTCTGTCAGTTAAAATTTTGGAAATGTTTGTCAGTTAAAATGTTTCTTGTAACTGAAAATATATGTCTATGACTAATGACTGAGAAAATAAAGGCGGGGTAAGGACTTTTAGGCCAGGTAATGGGGCTAAGTGTGTGTGTGTATGTGTGTGTATTTGCATATACTTTTGGTACTGCCGACTTCAATAAAAAGAAAGGATGCACAACTAAATGTTATAGCAGTCCCATATACAAAATTTCAATGTTCTACAGCTAATCATTTTTGGGTTATGCAAGATACATACATATAGATGTCACAAAAAAAAATCCATTTTGTATATATTGATGAAAAAATAGTCAAAACGCATTCAGGAATGGTCAAAATGAATATTTCTGCTAAAATTTCCTTTATTTTGTACAAGGAAGTAAAAATATTCATTTAAGATTACTTTATATGCTAATTACGCACCTAAATCTATAATTTTTATGTTTCTATGTTATTTGATTAATCAACTACAGGAAAATAATTCAAAACAAGATAATGTACTTAATATATACTTCTAGCATTTTGCTACTAATTATGGATGAGAATCAATAATTTTCTGCCTTCTAATAGAGTCACCGAGGGAAGGACAAATATCATTTGCTCCATTTCAAATTTAAATCACATGGAATTATTTTGTTTATGAAATTATTTCTCAACATAATTAAAAACAAAAAACTGCTCCCCTTTTTTCCTGGGTTCAAATGTGAATATCATGCAGATGAAGGAATTAAGAGGAGAAAAATGTGGGAGGAGGGATTTTATGAAAACAGTTATGGAACAGAAAATGTATTGGAAAATTATACAAATTAGCTTAATAAGTCTAACAGAAATGTGCATTTTTGATCATTAGGAATAACTATAGACAAATTTTTTTCAATAACAAGTTAATTTTCAAAACAGTAAAATTATTAAGCAATATAAATGTAGTAAAATAGGGTCCATGACACTTAGTCGACAAACACTCAGCTAGAAAGATACTTATCCAACAGGTCATTCAGCCTACACAAACATTTAGCCGGAAGGTCATATAGCCAACACTAGTTCTGATTGACATGTTTAGCAGAGAACATATTTAGTTGACAACAGATCCATTTAACAAAAACACGCGGCAGTAGTTTAGTAAAATTTATTCACAGTTATGCAACAATTCTGTAAACTTTCTATCAATTACAAAATTGCTTGAACTTTCCAAAGGATTCATCTTTTAATCATTTTTCTCCCCTATCAGATAAATTTGTTGTTAGATTCTTAAAGATCTCATCTCTGTTTTGAATTCCGGAATAATTTAGCATGTTAACCCAAACTGAAAAAGTATTGACATTTCTAGTCAGTAAAAATGAATCATATTTTCAAAAAGGAGAAATAAGGAAATGTTTAATAGCAAATCACAGTAGGATACTTATTTAGATTTTGACTTCGGATGTGCAAAAATTATCCATAAAGCTTCTTCATTTCATAAACTGGGGTTCTCTTAATTTTTTTACATAAACAATAATGCTTCTTCTTAGCCTAATGATATTAACTTTGTAATCCACCCACTTTCTAAACCCATTTAATTAACTTTCTAATCCTATTTACGCTACATTACTATTTTTTTCTACAGGTATATTTTATGATTTATATTATTTTATGATTTATTTTATTATTTATTTATTTTATATGATTCATAAAAAATCATTTTGCTCCATATAAAATTGTATCATATATACACAAACAATTACTTTTTTCATAAATAAATATTATATAATAGTTCAGCTCTCTCTATATTAGCACGTTATTTCATGGCGAAACATGAAAGGTAAAAATGGTTACAGATAGATATGCCCAAGACTTCAATGCCCTATAATAGGAGAAGTTGCTTATTTTTATCTTGGGAGTAAACTGCCTTCCTCTTCATTGCCCTATTTTTTAATAACACCCTACAGTTGCTAAAGGAACCCTCCACTGCCAATATTTCCATAAAAAGTATAATACAAAACTATCAATAATTTCTGTTTCAGTATTGATATTTGAAAGCTTTTCCTCATTTTCTATCATTGTATTTATTGAAATCTAGCTAAAAAGCACGATTTTAATTTGGAAACACTGGTTGGCAGTTCAGTGAAACCAAGGTCAACAAGGACGGTTAAATGCCTATGTTGGCTAAGTTTTCTGTCTACTAAATGTCCATGTTTGTTAAATGCATGTGTCAGCTAAAAGTTGTGGTATAAGTAGTTTTTGGTTAAGTGTCTAAGAGCGAGTGAAATGCTATCTTTACCCTCTATTAAATTAAAATTTTGAATCACTTTATTTTTCTTAAAAATTTTTTTTAATGTGATTTCCTGTGGAGTCAAATTTGATACTACAAAACGGATAACTTTAAAAAACATAAATTCATCTACCTCTCTTAGTAAAATCTCCTTTACCTGTATTTTCTACAGAAGTGGCTGATATTAATTTAGAAAATGAAGGTTAAGATTTTGAACAACTGACATGTAATACAAATTTCATACTTATAAGGCTGGTTAATGAAGAAGAAATCTTATAATACAACCTCTTGATGGAAGTTAAAAGGATACTCTTGATAAGGAAGTTTAAAGTGAATTTGACATTTGTACTCACAAAGAAATTTTACAAGCAGCAGTTGACAATACTTTATAAGCATTTAATAAAAGCAGCTTCAAAACATTAATGCAGTGTTGAATGTAGTTAATGTTCACTGAAACATATATTTGATTTTTGAATTTACATAAAATTCCACATTTCATCACAATTTTTAGCTGGAAAAAAGATTTTATGCAGCAGAAATTTTTTTAAATTTTTTCACATTGCAAATCGACAAAATTAGTTTTGAAATACCTATGTAATATTCAAGATAGTTCATTTTTAATGATAAAGAAAGTATTCAATAAATACTGATTCATTATGCAAATTTAAGACTATATGTATTTTTAAATTAAAATACAGAGTACTTAAAATGCATTTGATTCCTTGAAAATTTTATGATACATCAATTTGGCAACTATATACTGCATTCTAAATATAATCACAAATCACAGTTATTGATTTTAACAAATTTGCTTTGTTGAATTAAGAGGACATTTCCAATTCTCGACTATATACATAAAGGAGAAGATTGAACTGAATCAAATGAATGGAAAGTTAATTAATAAATACATTCAAGAATAACTTTTGACGATAAAGAAAAACAATGACCGGACACAAACGAACAATCTGGGTACTTTTCCATTTTGTTGCCGCAGGGGATAAAGTCGCTAATAATGGTATAATAGAATCGCTGGTAAAATTTTACTCCTCATTTTCAAAACAAGTCACATATATTTTTATCAGATTGATTGTTTCTTTCAATATACTGGCATACAATTACATAGAACTTTTACCCAGATAGCTCAATTTTATGCCCTAAGGACATTTGCGGGTGGTAATTAAGTCAATTAGGATGCAATCACACCGCTCACCCAATGGCGAAAATATAGAAAAGGCAAAGTCAAGAATTAAATTCATCAATTCTAATGAAAATGCCCTAGCGAAGTAAAGTACTGTGGTTTTACATAATTCTATTCGTACGAATTGGAATACTTCTTGCATTTAAACTTGTATTCCAAATTATGATTTAACTTGAAATTAATGTAGATAATTACTGAGAGAATTAAATTTTTGTAGCATAGTTTACTTGAAATGAGATCACTTGGAGTCATGTAATATGAACCGGCGAATCAGGATGTTGTACCATGAAAGAATAGTAAATTCTTGAATTAATGTTTTTTTACAAATTCATCGTCTTTATTTATTGGCTTTCTTTACAAAATTTTAAACGACATTAAAATGTTTATACATTTCAAAAAAAAAAAAAAATTCTTAGAACTAACATTTGACAACATTTTTTATGTTATACTGTGTGTTGTCACCAATAAAGTCTGCTTGGTGAGATTTGCACTGGCGAAACGGAAAAGTACCAAAATCTGATGTCTACACCACATGACTTCCACGTATGATTACATGTATATTGAATTATATGCATTTCTTTCTGCATTTCATTTAAATTTCTTTCCTCAAATTTCATTGGCAATATATTTGAAATTTCATTAATTTCATTGAATTAATTCAGTTCTCACTTTGAGGCAAGGCAAAAACAAACAAAAACTAAAAAAAAACTCATTAAATTTGAAAAAAATAAAACACCAAATACAGTTAAAACAGATTTTCGATTTAAAATTATAATTTCTATGCAAAAACAACCAATTTTTGCCAGAATGTAAGAAGGCAGATTTTTGCACAAAACTAAAAGTTTTGTTTTGTCTGACTCGGCAAATTAGACACTGATGGTGCAAAAAGACTAAACTCACTATTCTGCTAAGTTTCAAATGTAAAGAAATATGGCTGCTATGGTGAAAAAAAATTAGGCTTAGCTGCACTTAAATAGTTTTCAAATTCTATAACTATTACATGATGATTGACTAAAGGCATAAAAACCTTAACTGGAAGATAAGAACAACATAATTCAATCACTTTTAAAGCAAAAAATGCACAATTTACTAACATATAATAATAATAGTAAACTGAGCTCACGGAGCTAAGTAACAGATTGGGTACATATATATATGTATGTTTATATACTTTTTGGTGCCGCCAAACACAACCAAAAAGGGAGGTGCACAATTACATGTTATAGCAGTCCTATATACAAAGTTTCAACATTCTGAGGCTACTCGTTTTTCAGTTATGCGAGATACATACATAGACGCCACGAAAAAATCTTTTATGAACCCATTTTGAGAAAAACAGTCCTTCATTCTGTTCTTACATACAGATGTTATGCATAAACATTGTTAAATTGCATTTGATAATGATAAAAATGGATATTTTCGCTGAAATATGATATCCAAAAATTTTCGTGATTACAATACTTCCTTTGCTTCATACAAGGAAGTAAAAATATAAAAAATTGTAATTAGAAACTAAAATTTTTGACCAGCAGGGAAAAAAAAAATCTGAATCTAGAAAAATAACTCAAGATGATTCACACAAAGAAAAGAAAAATGAACAGACAAAAAATTATACAGAACATCTAATACTTGTTTTACTTCATGCAAAACCATATATAGTCAAGTACCAAAAATCCGCTGACCTGAAATCTGCCATCTCCTGAAAACCGCGTTGCATCTCAAAATATAAACATTTAGTTTATAGGTTCTGTAAACTGCAACATGGAGTACCAAATATCGAAGAAAAAATACTTACCGGATAATCATGTCATAATTACTGAATAATAACGAATCATAATGGAATACTAAATTATTGACATCATGATAAGAGTTTTTTTCCCTTTCTGCATCGTGGTAAAAAAGCATACGATTCACTCAAGTCTTTTTTCAAGTTCACGATTCACGTTGTTGTATTTTTTAAGCTTTGTTATTTCACAAGATTATTTAGTGCTGCCTTTTTTTTATCCGTATATTTTGTGGATAAATTAAGAATATTTTTAATTTCAGCGTTTTTTAATACAATGACAGATAAGAAACGCACTCGTGATTTTACTGCTTGCAACGATGAAAAACGTAAACACATTGCACTGGTAATGAAAAAAGTTAATTCTGCTAAGGATGGACTCTTTCTCAATCTTCTACAGGTGTTGGTCCTACAGGCTATAAGGAATTTTCGTGTTCAGGGCCAGGAACTTGGCTCAGTGCCAAAACTCAATTTGAGAGGACAGAGTAGAATGAGTAATAAAGAGGGGAGTGGTGAAATTTTTTTTCCTTGCAACCCTTTCTAGAGACAACAAATATGTCAAATCGCAACAAAAGTTTGAAAAGGTCTCGGTGGGCCACAATTGGCCCGATGGCCACAGGTTTTGCAATCCTATCTTACAAGATATTCCTTCCTAACAAACTACACAGATATTTAGAGATAGAATAAAAGCAATCTAATACTTAATGCAATAAAAAAAATGACAATGACTTGAAATTATATAACTTTACCAAAAGCATGCAGCATTTGGAACAAGCACTTGGCAGAAGACGGGCCAGTTTTAGCACATATTAACAGGTATATGCATCTGACATTAACTATAATCTTACATCTTTATCCTTTTGATGTATATGATGCTTTTTTTAAATGCAGTTAAAGTAGAATTATTCATTTAATATAGACTACTGCCATGAAAAACATAAGATTGAGAGAATTTTATAAATATAATAGCAATTTATTAAAAATATTCTGGAATAATTTCTAATATTAAAAGAAAAAGATATAACTAACCTGTCACAAAAGCTGAATGGTAATACCCTGCAGATATACAGATGATATTTGCATCTAAATTTAATTCGGTTGGAATCAGGATTTGGCCTTTCTCTGGACCAATCTGTCCTTCCGACCCACTGCCCCAAACATAGACTATTCCTTTATCTAGAATAAATTAAAATATAACAAATGTAAACTACCACTAAATTTTATAATTTAACATGCACAATAAATTTCATTTCCTGTTTTACTTAGTTCAAAAATAAATCACAAAATCATACACTGCATACACACCTAGGGGTCAAGTGAGTTCGCTAATTATAAAATAGTCCCTGATGAAACAAAGTGAAAAAAAGCAAACAGTTATTTGGAAAATGTAACTAAAGATAATCAGTAATGGAAAAGGATTTTAATATATTTCACCTTCAAAGTATTAGAGTGACAAAGTATCTCATAATTTAAAAAAAAATATATTTTATACATTAACAACTGCAGTCTATATTTTTTTACCTTCTTGTAATTTATCATGAGTTGATACAGAAGTAAGGAGACAGTATCAAACTGCTTGGAATACAGTTAAGATTATAAGTGTTCAATGAAACTTTCTTTTCAAACTTAGATTATGCTTTAGGTTTGAATTGGAATTTAAATTCAATTTTAAATTTAATTACTTGACAGTATGTTTGCTGAAAAATGGCAAGGTCTTTAAAAGCTATTACAAGGATTTAGTCTTTATAGATCAGAAGAGTCAATAAGTGTGAAAACTGTGATCATTGCATAAACAGGAAGCTTTTGGACTAGAATTTGGATAACCTACAAAATATATCTAGATTTCAATGAGAAAGCATAATGAAGTGAAATGCAGAAGCAAACCAACTTCTATAGTAAACAAGAAGAGAAAACATGAATTTAGTCACACACTAGTTCACCAGGATGTGAACTGGCTGTCAAATCAGTAACAGCTCCAACAAAAATTTCATATCTTATCAATAATATAGTTCTAAATTTAAGAACTAAATTTTATAAATGCAAAATTTTTATGCCCATAAAATGGAAAATATGTAAAAAAAAAATTGCACATACTGTAAATGCTTAAATACATGAGGATTTTCCTTTGCAGATTGCACCACTAAGTGGAACAAATGATTATGTTCTGCATAGGGCACCATCTACGAATATCAGTGTACAGTACAATAGTACAGGTTGAAAAAAGGCCAGCACCAGTGCATTCCAAAGCTACATTACGTATCGCTGGGCCTTGATAACTGTTAGACTCTGCCCCAGTTTTGATGGAGAACACTTGGAACATTCATGGGTCTTCCAGCCCTCTTCCCCTACCATCAGTCGAGAGGATTTTTGGCTTACTATGTATTTTGAGTCTTCCCCCTTGGCAAAATACACTTACTAACATCCATGCCTTCTTTGAAACTTGAGTGCATTACTACAGCAGTCAGTGTCAGTAATCCTTATACCAGTGCAGTACAATTGTGCACATACAGGTTAAAGCAAGGCAAAACACCTCTTCATCCAAGTAGGCATATTAGATATTGCCAAACCTTGCTAACTGCCAAGTTACTATACAGGATGGTATTCACAAAGAGAGAACACCTCAGGGTATAATCTGAAGGTCTCCCAACTTCTCAAAAGGATTTTGGCTTGATGAGTGTTTTGAATACCCCCTTGCTGCACAGACACTATATGCTTACAAACATCCATGCCTTCTTCAGGATTCAAATTCTAGCTCTTTGGTATGACAGTCAACATCACTAACTGTTATCCCATTGGGCTGCAGTACATTAATACAGAGAAGCATTAAAATTATTTTTAATGTGTGTATATTTGCCATTTTTTAGTTTTTAACAAATGAGAAGTAATTATTCCACAATATTCCTAACTACTACATTATTTTCCTAGAGGATGAATCACAGAAAAAAAGGTAAAAAGGGAATTTTAGAAATATGCATTATTTTATCAAAGATTTGTATTAGTACCTGGTAGTTCTGCTTTTCATTATTAAAATTTATATAAAAATCACAGATTTTTTTAAAATTTCTTCACAAAAGATACTGCATAAAATTTTGTGCCATGAAGTAAATTTTAGACTATATCAAAATGTTTTTGTAAAAAAGAATTTTATAAATAACTGAAATATTTAAAATACTATTGAAAAATATATTACTATAAAATCGATATAAAATACATGACATAAAGAAATGAAGAACTAACCATTTATTTCCAAATATTTCCCTTGATTTATCCTTTGATAGCCAAGAAAAGCATAATAATTAGAAATTGAAAAGACAATTCAATATTCGAGAATTAATGCACAAAAAGAAAAGAAAATTCGAACTTGATTTTTAAAAATTCTTAATTTATAAATCAAGTTTTATATTCAATATAACTAAAATCAAGTTTTATATTCAATGTAACTATGTAAATAATACATACAGAGGACATAAGTTAAGTCTTATACTAATCAGAATAATTAAATAATATTTCACATTCAAGAATGCTAACCATATACAGTAGAATCTCACAAACTCGACTCCCAATATCTCAACATTCCATATAACTTGACAACTTTTAAGAAACTTTTTTAAGACAGGCCAAAAAGAGTGAATATTATATACAGTACATATAATTATTATTCATGGGTATGTCTTTCTTGTTCTGTTCAAAGATTTGAGTGTTTTTCCCCCTGTAATTTTTGCCATTTCCACAAACTAATTGAAAAGGAGAGTATATCTGAAGAAAAATTTATAATTGTGATGAGACCGCTCTAAATTTTTGAATGCTACCTTCAAAAACTTTGGCATCAAGGGATGAAAAATCGGCACCTGGCTACAAAATAAACAAGGAGAGAGTCACAATCTTGGCATGCAGCAATGCAACAGGTAGCCATAATCTCAAACTAGCGCTTATGGCATATAAAAAAAAATTCCCAGGCATTTGAAACATATAAAACTACACTAACGAGACCAAAACCAACTATGATGTTCCTGTTTGGTACAGAAATCAGTCAAATGCATGGATGAATGGAGCAATATTTAGTGATTAGTTTCATCAGCTGTTCGTTCCATTTGTGGATAAGATTAAAAAAATCTACCAAGGAAGGCAATTCTCATTCTTGACAATGCCTCATCCTATCCTTATGCAGAACAGTTACAAGACGTAAGGTAACTTCAGTATGTCAGTAACATTATGGACCAGGGGTTTTCAAAGCATTGAAGAAAAAATACAAAAGTAAACTTCTTTCATCTCTTGTGCTAACCATGGAGGAAGGGTGTTATGTGTTCAAGAAATTGAAGAAAATAGATATGTCGGATGTTGTTGGATGTATAGCTTGTTCTTGGGGTGAAATTGAACAGATAAACCTCATTCATTACTGGAGAATCTAGGAAATGAATTTCACAAAAGCAGAGAAGAGGCAAAAAATTGCGAAATAGTTGACTTATTTAAGAAAATTCCAGGCTGTAGACTAGAAGTTACTGATGGTGATGCTGAAGAATGTATGGGATAAGATGAAAATTGCGAGTTGCACTGGTGAAAGACAATGTGAATAAAAATGAAGATGAATCAGAAAACAAAGATATTGAAGACAATGGAAATGCTAAAATAATGACCCAAAGTGAAGGAATGCTCCGCTACATGGAGGTGCATGGTGCATCTGGTATGGGCATTTTGTTCCTCTGTCGCCCACGCAATGGATCTGCACGACGACAGAATGATTGTGAGAGACAGTTTACCATCACACAATATTTTTCTACCAAGAACTACTAATAATTTTCTTCACTTTTGTATGTAAGTGTTTTTACTCAATTATCTTAGAGTATTTGTTCTAACTGACATTAACTATAATCTTACATCTTACAATTTTTTATGACTCTTATTGTGTTATAACTTGACATAAAAAATCAACATTAATTTAATTGTATATTGTACTTTTCCATGGGCAATATTGTGCTACAAATGCCTTGAGTAATTTACAGTTACATATTCAGAGTTCTGAAAAACCCACTCCTTACTCCATAAAACTAGACTTTTTGGAAACTCGACACAATTTCTCAGTCCACATCATGTCTAGTTTGCAAGACTCTACTGTATAGCGTATAATAACATTATAATAAAAATCTAATGTGATTTACTATTTTATACCCCAAAAATACTAATATCTAATATAAGCTTCTTTTCTATCCAATTTATGTTTCACTTTGCATTAATAATTTATGCTGCTAAAATAAAAATTCATAACCTTACACTCATTTTCTTTTAGTAGAACATATTTAGAAATAGAATAAAAAAAATATTAATTTTCTGTATTATAACATATATCCACTGCTTTTATGAAATCTACAGTTCCACATTAAACTTCAATGAAAAAATATCCCATCATCTATATTTATACTGTATCAGAAATATGCAAAATCCATATTAGAATACATAGTCAGTATTATAATTTAGATGATCATTCTTACAATACTGAGGTTAACAACAGAAGTAAAAAAAACTATGCTGCATTAAAAAGTATTTTTAAGTGTTAAAACATGAGTATGAAATTTAATGACATGCATTTTCAACCTCTTGAATTTGTATAATAGAAGTATATCATGGTAGAGTCAAAAGTCGTTAATCCGGACTCGTTGGGACTTTGGCGATTCCGGATTATAGATCATCAGTTTAAATCTGGTAAGATGGCATGTAGAAATTATAAAATTAAAAATATGAAACCATAATTTATGAAATAAAGAACAATTATGATCTAAAGGGTATCAAAATTTACTAAAAAAAAAAGAGCTTAATATTTATTTGTTTACTTTATTAAACATTTCTTTCAATATAAGTTGTTTAAGTTGCTTCGTTTAATGTGATAATACCTTCTCTTTAATTCTATAAACAGACATAATTTCTTCTTCAGTTACAAAGTTCCGCTGTTCAAGTCCTATAATTGCTGTGTTGAGAATACCGACTAATTTGTCAATCGAAAATTTTTTGTTTTCAATAACCTCTGTGTCACTTTCTTCACTATCGGAAGCGAATTATAATGACGAGGAATTTGATTTAAATCATATCAAAGACGGAGTACATCGAGATGAAATACTACATTTAGTAAGGAATTGTAAGCCAAATAAAATAAAAACATCTGTCCTGAAGATAAGGATAGTGCT